TGGTCCTGCCCCTGCCCGCCATGCTGCTGATCGTGCTGCCGACCCTGTGCGACATGGAGCTGCCGGCCGGCCCAGGCCGGTGGGCTTGAACTACGGAATATCCTCAGCTGTTTTATCAAATGCTAGGGTGAAATGAAATTTCTTATCATATTATGTGTCTTTTTATTAAGAAAGCTGATCATGGACATTGAAATTAGAGGATACACTCAGTACATATTGAATATGTTTGGCATGGGACAAATATAATGACAGCCTTCTAGCTCAATATTCACACAAACCATTTTGAGGGTATCTACCTCAAAAAATTCTACATCTTCATCAATTGATGTAACGGAAAATTGAAAACAAAGTGAAGAATCAAACCGTACAATAGCAAGAGGACAATATTGGGAAGGCACACAACGCACTTTAGATCCAACAATCCACACTTTTGAGGTAAGTTCATGGTATAAAATTTTTCTTATCAGTATTATATCTTTACTTGCTAACATAGCATAGGAATTGTCTGTTTTTGTCTTCTTTTTGCCGCTGTAGGTTCCGAAACAGCATCCATCCTTTTGCAGTTGTCCATATTGAACAAAGTCCTCAATGTTCTTGCCCATTCTGGTGATGAACCACTCTTCTTCCTCAGTGGCTTTATAAAGTTTGCCTTTCTGCAGCAGTCGCACTTTGCCCGCATCAACAAAAGGAGATGAACTGGAAGCTTTATGATTAAGACTTTTTTCAAACGATTCTGTTACTTCACTGCTACAGAATCTTTTCAGGATAACCAGTGCATTTTCTTCTGAGAATCCTCTACATATTTGGTTGGGAATAAAGCTAACATGATTTACAAGTTTCTTTAATTTTTGATTGCCAGCTTCAAAAGCATATGCAGATAATGCATATATTCCTCCCCACCGCCTAGCATTTTCAACAAAATGTCTGAAAATGTGTGTATTAAAGCGAAGCATTTCCGGATAGTACAAAGCCTCAATCTGACTGATAAAGTCTTCAATAATGCCTTCAACAATTGGTAAGACATCAATCGGAATCTCTGTGCTGAGAAGAATATAATTAGCCTGAACATAGAGAGCCCAATGTTTTAAGTACCTTGATGGCAGTATATTGACAAGAACTGGAATACAGACAAAAAGTGCAAAGTTTTCAAACTCTCTTCCCGTCCAAAAGGGCAAGTTATCCACATCCCTAATACTTTTTCTTGCTTCTTTAGGCAGTCTTATTTTCATCAATTTTTGATTGATTAGAATTATATTATTTTCTGATCCCACATAGAAAGGCTTACCCTTATCTTTCAACCATGCCTTTAAAAATGCCTTAGTTGTACCCTCATCTTTTGCGTGAAGCTGGTCCACTATGAATCCATCCACTATATCAAAATGTGGGGCAGGAGCAAGGGGACTTAGGTACTTCACCCCGTTTACAAAAGTTTTGGTTTGTAATGCCTCTCTAACATCATTCAAAAACCCTCTTATTGTTCTAGGGGGAGCTAATGGTCCTCTATATCTAAAAATCCTGCAATTCTCCCATTCTTCTCCTTCTTCTAAGCACCAAGAACAAGGAAAATCTCCCCGGTGAGCATGAATGCCTTGGACATCACAACGTGCCACACTATCTGCACAGCATGCTAACAAAAACACTTTCACAAACCATTCTTCATCTTGACTGATACGCAAAGAAACACCCACAAGAGAGAGTTTAGTAATATGTTTTACGATGGGTGGGAGAAACAGATCTATTTTCTCCTTCACTAAACCAAACCAGAGACCTGCCAGCAGTGGATTGCCCGACCTCAACACAGGTGGTAATTCATTAATTACAACAAAGCAGGGACAAATCTTTTGACCACTAAATGAGCATAAAGAGGCACTATCAACAGACAAGGTCAAAGATAAAACTTTCACTCCAGAGGCACACTCATCTCTGACAGTATGAGCAAATTTTCTGTACATAGTACCATGATATAAATCTCGCATAACATTGTCAGGGGGAACATTTAAAAAATCTGATGGATTCACTAATTTTCTTCTTATGTCTGGGTTACTAAGGAGAACCTCTATTTGAGATGGTAAGTAAAAAGTAACAAAATAAGTAGCTTTAGATAGATCAGACAAAATATTAACTCTATTACATTTCACATTTGAGCAAACAATTTGATCAGGTCTTCTTTGCTTTGATGGTAAGTCAACAAGAGAACTATAACAACCCGAACAATGAAAATAATACCACATATCCTCTTTGGAATAAAAATATTGATCAAGTAAAAAACGTGAGTCTGGAAGAATTTTTCCACAGTTCAAAATTGACTGAGTAAATTTCATCAAGTGCTCTTTTTCTAGATGACCCCAGTTATGCTTTTTGCAAAGAACAAGGGCGTTAGTAAGTATTTCACCAATAGATATATTCACTTGCAGCTGTCTCTCTAAAGCAAAAGAACCTTCTAAACTCGACTTAAGTCTCCTGAACGGATCAGCTATCTCATTATTCTCATTGTTTTCATTTTGATCTCCATCGGCACCACCTGCTTCACCTATAATACTGTTGTCTTCTTCTTCCTCTTCCTGATCTGTTTCATCACGATGGCCAGAATCATATTCGCTTGAGTCCTCATTGTATGAATTATCTGAAGCACCCTGAAAGAATACAACATGTTCTTAAAGTAAGGGGACAAATAACTTGTTCCTCAATAATAAATGTTAACAGTCACATACTACTTTTTAAAATTTGAAAAAAAATATTAACAAGAATGAATTAACATTTTAATAGAACAGCTTTCATACCGATAAGTCTGATGCATCTTCCTGATGTTGAGAATTATTAAATTCTCTATCTTCTCTGTCACTGTTAGGTCCTCCATCTGAACTATTATATTCACAATCTCCATCGTCAATACTAAATCTGGTCTCTTCTTCTTCTTCCTCTTCCTTATCTGTTTCTTCGCTATTTTCTGAGCTATGTTCACTTGAATTCTCAGTGGATGAACTATTTGATGCACCCTGCAAGGATATTAACTTTTATTAAAGAAAAATAATTAGAGTTCATAGCACTTGTTTAATTGATACATATCAACAGTGAAGTTGCTACAGAACAGGTTTCATACCGAAAATTCTGATTGATCATCCTGGAGGTGAGA